TTTATCTAAAAAGGCCCAGTTAAATCGACACTTGTTATGGTGAAGGGCAGAGCAAAATTGCAGTGTTCAGATGGAGGTGTTGCCATTATCTGCGTTCGCATTTTATGCATGTGCATCGTACAAACTTTCAACATGAAAATGCACAGCTGTATTTCGAGATTAATTCGTGTGATATAAAACTCATTAGCAATGCTGAGGTAGCGTTTGTAAGTCTAGGCGCGTCAGTGTATCCCATTACGAATATGGTGATCCCTTAACTTTGTTTTTCAGTTGGTCTACCGATTTGAACATGTAGACAACTACTCTGAACGCTCAGGGTAAGCATGAAAATCGATCAAGGATGTTGGTATTATTCTATATTGCATAAAAAGTATCGATTCTTCGACTTTCAGACGAGCATGTAGCGAAGTATCAACACAATATTAAGAAAATTGAGAAACGTGGGAAATGGTCAGCAGCGATGACTGTAAAATGATCCATTTCATTGAAAATCTTGGACCGTAATGTTTTTCCACCTTTTATTTGAAAACACGGCTTCATTAATTGATCCGAAAACTAAAACACATAACGGTGAACGAAGCTAATTTAGTATTTTAAGTATTTAACGAATAAATAATAAACCTTACGCCATACAACCAAGTCTTATTTGTTCTTTTTGGAGCTTAGCTGGTAGATTCCCAGCTTTCCATTTCTGCTGATAACAGCTATGCTTTCTGATTTCACATTACTGCCAACTTAATTCGAGTAATCTGGTAAGGCATTTCATAGAAATGTAAGAGAATTACTCATCATATCATCCTTCCACGCAAGTCACTGCTACTACAAAAACTCGAATGCAATCAAAGAGTAAGCGCGGAAATTAACATATATATACACACCGTGCAATAAATAAAACCTTTGTGTGAGATGAACGATTATACGTACATAAGGTATATATAGGTTAAAATAGTCAATTGGGCCTTAAGAAACTTGTAAAAAGAATGCTAACGGTTTTAATCGACACAAATTGGAGATTATTAGATTTCTAAATCAAAATGAAAATAAGTAAGGAAGTGTAACCGGACATCTTATACTCTTACAACTTGCAAGAATCAAAGCCCGGAAAATTCAGGCGCTAGCAATACTTTATATAATATTAAACAAGTAAGGAAGGGCTAAGTTCGGATGTCACCGAACATTTTATACTCTCGCAAAGTCAAATGGGGAAATAGGCGTGGTGATAATCCGATTTCGCCCATTTTCGTACTATAACAATGAAATATGAGAAGAATATTACGATGCCACGCCCACTATCTAATTTTGAACGTGGTTCCTATAAAATCATCTTATACCATCCTAGAGAAAAAATTTAATGTTTCTGGCTTGTTTATTGCTTGATTTATCGCGCTTATAGAAGTTTTTAACAGTACCGTTATATGGGGAGTGGGCGGGGTTGTCAGCCGATTTCACCCATTTTCACACCGTCGATAGAGATGCTAAAACATTAGTTCCCTGTAAATTTTGGTATTATAGCTTTAGTGGTATAGGAGATATGCCCGCTAAACTTATTAGGGGGCGGGACCACGCCCACTTTAAACAAAAATTTAAACTGCAGATGTCCCTCCCTAATGTGATCCTGTATACCAAATAAGAGTTTTTGATTAATGGCGTTTTGTGGGCGTGGCAGTGGTCAGATTACGCCCATCTGCAACACCCACCGTCTTACGGTACCAAGAAACATGTGTACCACGTTTCATAAAGATATCTCAATTTTTGCTCAAGTTACAGCTTGCACAGACGGACAGACAGTCACCCGGATTGCAACTCGTCTCTTCATCCTGATCATTTATATATATTATATTATATAATATATAACCCTATATCTAACTCGATTAGTTTTAGGTGATACAAACAACTATTAGGTGAACAAAACTATTATACTCTGTCGCAACAAGTTTCGAGAGTATAAAACCCTTCAAATGTGATATTATCACACATTTTGACCAACCTGAACGGTTTAAATAAAGGTAGAAAGACGGAATTCATTTTATCGGGTTTATTAGAAATAGAGAAAGGAACAGGCTGATTGCATTAATTTTGACATTGCTCAGATATTTTCGTAAACATATTTCGAAGCAATTTATATATAAACAAGTAAGGAAGCGCTAAGTTCGGATGTAACCGAACATTTTATACTCTCGCAAAGTTAAATGGTATACTCGTTATATTTCTGATATTTCTTTATATATTTTAATAATTAGACACATTTCACAGTGAAAATAATTAGAGCAATTAGTAAACTAAATTTGCTCAAATTATGAAAAATTGTTCTTGTGTTTTTTGTATACGCTTATAATTGATTTTATATAGAATGCATTACAACTGTATTGAGAAGTATGAAAAGAAATCGTTTTTGGACAATGAGTACCATTTTTTATTTATTATATCCATATTATTATACATGTTTAGCTTAAAAATAATAAATATTAACAACTATAAAAATAACATTATTATATTAATTTGTATATAATATTTACAATATTAAACATAACTTTTTATAGAGAATCTTATACATATATCCAAATTATATTTCTTTTCTCCTTGTACAATCTAATTTCTTTCATATATTTATGCAAAAACATTCTATACATATAATTTAAATTTTCTTAATTATATTATTTACATATTTTTCTTAAAATTGTCTTAAAAACTACTGTCAAAATTGCTATACTATTCTAATTCGATTATATTTGAAAAAAAAAAATTGAGAACTATTGCACTAAGTCTGAAAACTTTGGTTCGAAATAGAGACACAAATACTGTCATGATAGCTGTGTACTGTCTCAAAAGTAATTGTATTAACACGGAAAGGATCCATGTTTGAAAATGCCCCATCCATTTGTGTACCGGCATGTGTTGTTAAATATTCTGCACCAAGCAGGGAACTAAATATATGTTCGCACCGACACAAAATTCGTGTTTTCCTAGACAAAAGAGGTTTCTACCCGAAAACTTGTGTTTTCATCCATACAAAATATGTGAAATGAAAACACAATTTTCGCTGAAAACCTGTTGATAATGTAACAAACACGGATGATAAAACAAAATCGAATCAACGATAAACTGCCAGAAGCAACTAGTTAGCGAGTTCGTAGTTGCCAGAATGTTCTAGAAGCAATGTTTTGTTACAGATTTACTATATAAGGGCTGCCGGACACAGTTCTAGTTAGAGTTTTGTCCTGATAAGAACAATTGAGATATAAGCAAGAAGTTGTAAGCTCGAATAACGAGCAATAAGTGTTAAGTTGTTGGAGTGAAACGAACTCAAGAGTGAGTTACAAGTAGGCGATTTATCGAGAAATCCGTTACAATTGGTGTCATAAGTTGGATTGTCAAATAAATTCCCAAGGAGGTAATTATTTGAAAATGGCCAAGTTTAACGATCTGAAGATTCCACAACTGAAAAAGGAGCTGGAGCATCGTGGTTTGACGACAAATGGATTAAAAACTGAATTACAATCACGGTTGAGAGAGGCCATGGAGGCGGAAAACATTAATGTAAAGGAATATGTCTTTCACATGGAATTAGAAGAAGAGACAACAAAGATAGAAGAAAAGGAAGAGGCTCAATGCTCGTCAAAGATTGTGGACATAAACATGGTTTTTGCCGCAATATCGCAAATGTCAACGCAAATATCGACACAAATTAAAGAACAGGATACACGTATGTCTCAAATATCAACAGATATATCGACACAAATTAAAGAGCAGGATACACGTATGTCTCAAATATCAACAGAAATATCGACATAATTTAAAGAGCAGGATGCACGTATAACCCAACAAATAGCAGAGGTGTTATCACAAATGTTGACACAACAATCCCAATTGTCCTGGTTAGAAACGCGGTTGGAAGAGCAGTTCGCAGCACAAGTGTGCTCGCAGTCGGAAGAACTGAACGGGCGCATGTCAGCGCAGGTGTCCTCGCAGTCTGAAGAGAAGGAAGCGTGTGTACCAGTACAAGGGTCCTCACAGTCGAAAGAGCTAGACGTGCGTATGTCAGCGCAGGTGTCCTCGCAGTTGGAAGAGGAGGAAGCATGTGAACCAGTAAATGGGTCCTCACAGTCAGAAGAGCAAGAAGCGTGTATAGCAGCACAAGTGTCTTCACTTGTTCATGGGCAGATGAAACAGCACAATTCGCGTGCGCCAGTTGAGAAAATAGGAGTGTATGAAGATGGTCCATTCCCTACCAATAAATCAGGAAATAGTCATGTTTTGGTAGTCAAGAACCATTTCAACGAATGGCCACAAGTATACACAATTCCTAACCAAGAGACTGAACCAGTGGCGGAGGCATTCATCAACAAGTGGGTAACGAGATTCGGTGTGCCAATGGAGTTACGTTCTGATCAAGAATGGAATCTCGAGTCAGCTTTAAGTCAAGGGATGTACCAGAAACTGAGTATCCGGGAAACGGATGGAATTAACTCCAAGAAGAGAAGGACGCCTAACGATGTCAGCACCAGCCTAGAAGATGAGATGGGGGACATAAAAGCTTTGTGTTTGATATCGCAAATATGTCTAATCAGGACGATCAGACTTAGGTGGAGGGCAGTGTGACGAACACGGATGATAGAACCAAATCGAATCAATCAGAATGTTCTAGAAGCAATGTTTTGTTACAGATTTACTATATAAGGGCTACCGGATTGTGCAGCAAACACAGTTCTAGTTAGAGTTTTGTCGTGATAAGAACAATTGAGACATAAGCAAGAGGTTGTAAGCTCGAATAACGAGCAATAAGTGTTAAGTTGTTGGAATTAGAAATAAAGATAAGTGTGTAGCCATTAAATTGGGACTTTTATTTAACAATCCAGTTATCGAACTCAAGAGTGAGTTACAGGTAGGCGATTTATCGAGAAATCCGTTTCAATAACTTACATTCCGCTCATTATAATCGGTGCCTGCTCTAGTTTAATCGATATTATTAGGAGACATATTTTGCCAGCCCTAAATGTCACTTGACAATTTGTTTACATTCTGTGTTCAAATGGAGAATAAAGTGTATAAAAAACGAAATTCGTGGAGTGAAAGGAGAGAAGCCCTACTAATTGAGTGGTGGGAAGCAATAGTTGGTGCGCTTCGAGGGCCAAGAAAAAATAGCCACATATTGGAGGAAATGGCAGTGGAGCTGCAGCAGCAAGGTGTCACCTTCACGGCGGCAGAAGTCAAAACGAAGATGCACAATCTGTCGCAAAGATTTAGGTAAACAAAATTGAGTAAAAATAAATACTAAACAATATTGAGTAAATATTAATGCGTTATATGTTATTATGTTTTATAGGAAGGAGAAAACAGCAGTCGGTTCAACTGGCGGTTCCTCCTCGCAGTGGCCTTTATTTAAAAAAATGAGCGCAATATTGTCGCCATATAAAAGCTACAACACAGAGAGCTTAGTGGAGGAAAGCTTTCAAAGAAAGAGACATGTGTTTTTTATTGAATATACTAGATGCTAGAGCAACATCATTTCGCGATCTGATCCTCGTCAAAAGCAATGAAATTAAAAACATTTTTCCGGTTCCTCCGGGAGCATTAAGGAAATAAATTCCACCAGATCCACTGTTCACCGCTTTAAGCAACGTGTCGTACGCAATTCTCTGTTGTTAATTGTGGAACATTTGTACGAACTGTTTCGGCCAATGCTTCAATGTCCTACTGTTGTTCTCTTTGCAACTCATGGTTTAATGCATTGCGAATATGAACGATTGGGTGCTGTCATTCCCAAATACGATAATACTTTATTTGCCATCAATAAACACATATCTTCTACCATGATCAATGTCTCATTGTAAATTTCTTTAGTCATTCAGTAGGATTCAAAGCTTGACGGCGCACACGATGCAAAACATCCTCAGACATGTCATCTCTATACTTAACCCACAAATCTTTTGGATTCGAGGGGAAACATGTTGATATCATAATCGCAAACAATGTACGAATTTGATGCGGCGATGAAGATATTACAGAATCCTTGAGCGTATCATCCCAGTGCGAATCGTTCTCAAGTAAATGTAATTGTTCTCATGCCTCACAGTAAGTCGCACACAGCTGTCCAATAACTGTTCTCAGATGTTTTAACAATGTCGGACCACGAACATTCACCAATAACAACCGCAAATAATAACATTCATCGTTATTTGGATGTACTGTGTAGATGCGACCCAGAGCGTCTGAAGCAAATACATTTGGATGTCCTTCAACTGGTGTTCCTTGTTTTCGACGCTGAAATGATTTCGATGATGCGTTCTATGTATAATAGCGTGGCATGTCAGCATACAGTAAAGTGCGAGCAAAATCAACAGTTTGACAGACTGTCAAGAAATTTGTCAATGTTGTCGACGTTGGATATTCCGCCTTGTCTGCCGCGTTAGATTCATTAAAATAAACTCGTTTACCATTTTCTAAATGAACTGCCAAATGAACTACTGTAGGGTGTCTTTCATAGATAGCAAATGAAAAGATAAGCCAAATTACTTCATTGCTACTTACATAAGGATACAAAAGAAATAAATAAAATACTTCTTGATTTAAAAAAAATAAATAAATGAATGTGTTTTATTTTTGGAATATGGTTAGTGCCGCCTTAAATGAGTTCAGCCTCATAAATTATTTTTACTTGCCAAAATATGTACAAAGTGCTGCCCGTATAGTTTCTCCGTTAGTTGGGTCGTCAGACGCATATGAAACATGACTCGGATTTTGGCATCTAGTCTCCAACTTTTCCAAAGCGTGTAACCATTTAGCGTTTAAAGTATCGTTGTTTTCTTTTAAAAAATTGTGAAAGACGCAACAGGCTTTTATTATTAAATTGGCATTACGTACAGAGTTGTCAATTCCTTTTCCAATTCGTCGAAAGCGGGCCTTGAGGTGTCCAAAGGCATTTTCGACAACTATACGTGCTTTCGAAAGGGCGTAGTTGAATACCTTCTCACGATGATTTTGATTTACGCTAAATAGATACGGCTAAATCGAAAAGCCGAGTCCCCAATTATAAAAACTGGCACATTTACACCTGAAAGAGAGAACGAGACATTTCACTTAGTAAAGGACAATTCTGCATTTCTCGCTCAAGTGACGACTTTTCATAAATTTGAGAGTCATTACATCGCCCGGGACTCCCAACGATTATGTAAATAAAACGGTATGCGAAAATACAATGTATGTATTACATATGTACTTATAAGTATGTTGTGTCTCTAAACTTTACTTAGCATCAACTAATGCCAATAAAACGGTGGAATACCATCCTTTGTAATTATAATAATCCACAGCTTCTTCAGATGATGGGTGAACCTCAATGTGGCATCCGTCTGTAAACAATTATTAGAAATATATGATTTTATAACTAATATTTACCAATTGCTCCTAAGCATTGTGGGAATCCAAGTACCTCGAAACCAGTCACCAATTCTGTTATGCTTTCTCTATTTAGTGGCAGCATTTTAAGCTGGATGGTTGTTGTAATCTCTCCTCCGAACATATTAGCGATACTCCGCAGATGAGCCTAAAGCAAATATTGCTATAGCCACTCTTTTCTCGAGCAGAATAGCTTTTCTGTAGTTTGTATCCATTCTTTGTAGACGCCGGAGGATTTCGCATAATTTTTTAAATGAACTGCGGTTAATGGGAAAGTTTTCTTTTAAAAAAACGGATCCATATCGTTGGCAATCGTGTTCCCAAAATTGATTTTTGCGTCGCAGGAATTGTTGATATTTAATTGAAAAGTTTTGCTTCAGTAGAAACCTATACAAACTTTTGTCCAACATGATTTAATCAGGATCCCAAGTATCTTTATTATTCATAATAGAATTAAACGTTTTTTGTTCAAGTCTGCTATTTTTTTTTTAAGGCGAATGTGCTGGGTACTCAGAACTTCTATCGATTCTCTAAAAGAATCGTCGTTGCGCAAGAAACTTGTCCGGCTTCTCAAAGCCAATAATTTCGTAATTAAAATTCTAAAACTTACCATTCTCGTTAGCCTAAATATACGTAACTAATGTAAACAAATAAATGTGTGAACTGTCAATAAAAACTCATCGAAAACACACAATATCGGTCAGAACGACTTTGGTTCACAATCCACAAATTGTGTTTTCAAGAGGATTTCAATTCTGTGCGAACATAGCATAAAGTTTTTTTCTTCGAGCAGATTTCTTATTTCAGTCCCTGTAGACATTAAACGAATGTTAAAATCTCCAACAATTAGCATATTTTGATTGCCTAACTCAGAAGTAAGGACTTCCTGAAGTTCTACAATTAAATGTCTGACAGAGAAAGCTGAATTTCTATATAGAACCAGAATATTAATATTGAAACATTTGCGGCCTGACTAAATTTTCTTTACAGCCTTTGATTCTATAGAGCAAGCAATACTATGTTTTGCATATATTATAATGCCCCGTTTATTTCTGTTGCTTGTTTCCGTGCTATCTATCCTCAGCTCGTTGATTGGAGTAAATCCTTGTATATCAAAACTTTCGCAAGGATAACTCCAAGTTTCTACAAAACATAAAATATCTGAAGATAGCATCAAACAGCCGCTTTTTATAGCATTGATGTGAGCGTGAAGACTCTGAACATTATGGAATAAAATTTGATGTCCTGATTTCTGTTCAATTCCCTCAGTTTCCTAAATACAGGATCCGATTCAGAAAATTTGTTAGGAGGAATAAAATTTCCTATGATGAATAGACCTTCTGCAGAAGTAGCTCGACTACAAGCGACATATATTGAAGCTCTAGGCATTCTGGGTCGAGTATGAACTACAACTTTATTATATCTGGCACCCTGGCTTTTATGAATAGTTATTCTCTCAACCGGAACAACTGGAAACTGATTTCTTTCAATTGAAATTTGTTCATTTCTTTTATATTGAAAAGATTTTAGAACTTTTTCAATTGGTATCCAAGAACTTTCTAAAGGATGAGGCTTTTTTGATCGTGCTATCAAACCAACAAAAGGTTCCAAAAATTTTATCCACAGAATTGTTGGAAAAGAACAATGGAAAACAATTTGCATAAGTTGTCCAGCTGCCCCATTAACCAAGCCATCACACGTGTTTATATGCACTGTAATCATATATTTGGCGGAGGTTTTTAGTGTTAATTCATAGGGCAGTCCCTTCGTTTCAGAAGTTTTGAAAAGTTTAACTCTTTCCAAAATATTATTCATTTATACCAATTCCTTTAACTGTGTCTTTTGCAGTTGAAAGGAAAGCTTCTGTTGGGATTCGACTGAGCTTAAGGGCATTGAAATTATTTGTGAGTAAAAACACGTCAAGTGGACCCCCCATTTTCCACTTGATCATCAGATTTGGATAAGGTATTTTCATAAGTAGTCATCATAAACAGTAATCCCCTGCTCAGTTTTTAATTTTAATTTTATAACAATTTTTAATTGAAATTTTCACTGGTTAAAATTAATAACTAGAAAACTGTGGTGATTTTTAAATAAATTTTCAGGTTATAGTTCAAACTTTTGCTGAAAATATGTATGAATTTAATAATTTTTCAATTGTTAATTAACTTTAAGTTAAAGTAGAAAATTTTAATGACTTCTCCTCAAAATTAAAATTTTTAGTATTTTGCAATAAACATTAAAGTAACGAAATCCGCAAAAAGGTGACCGATCTGCCGATTAGATTAAGCAAAAATTTTACCATAGTAGGCGGTAGCGCACTGATATAGCAGTTCAACATAACACTTAGAGTGTGTTATGTTCATTGTATGTTGGGATGATGGTCTACATTTTGCTGCAGTAGATTAGCATAGATGTAGTAGAACAATATCATATAATACTACCCTTAATAGGTTCAAAGAAATACTTAAGACAGATTCTAATCCACCAGGTCTGTGAATACGCTAATATTTATATTTTAACAATTTCTTCTTTAGTATTAAAATCCATGCACGCAACATATTTTATTCAGTATAAAACATCAATTAATATTACAATACTTTGTTTAAATAAAACAATGTATTAGTAACAGCTAATCTGGACATTAAAACTAGTTCAGTAACAAAAATAAATAAACATCAATATTTATATCCCAGTATCTAAGTATAGACAACAAAATTATCTCAGCCATTCTGTTTGTTATTAATCTGTACTGACCTCGTTAAATCTGCAATCATTTAACAAAAATCTAAAATCATTAAACGCACTAATAACAAAAACGCTCATGATTTTAAATTTGTGATTATATACAATTCATGCCGAACTGGACTATTTATCAGGCCAAAACCTAGAATATGATGAATTATCAGGTGAATAAATGTCCACCAGTCAACATAAACCTAGAAATCAATAATGTTATCAAGATGGCAGAAAAATCTACTGTTACCTGACCAGAGAATATGATAAAAATTAAATGGTTCATAAGTTTTAACGTGGTGAATATTAATCAAATCAAAGTCTCAATGTGAATTTCAGCAGTGTGTGACGCGATGGGATGGTGTCAAATGACAAATTGATC